CCACCGAACTGCAGCTAGCAGTCAGCTGAAGTGGCTGCAGTACTGCACTCTAACCACTGCGCCACCTCGGCTCTAATTAAGCGAAAAGATTGTCTCCTGCAAACTCCACTCCCCTTTCGCTCCTCTTTTATTTCCTCTGGGAGGGGCCATTCATCCTCCACCTGTGGCCTTACTCCCAAGACAATACCTGTTCTTTAGCTGTTCCCTTTATCTGGCAACTCTGCGCATGCGCACACTGGGAACAGGCTCCAGCTGTTCCTCTGCCTCACTGATGTCTGAAAGCAGCTGATAACTGTCTGCCTCCGACACAGAGCCCTCATCAGAGCCTTCCCCAGACTCCAGGACTGGGCCATGCTCCTCCTCAACCTCCTCACTGTCCAAATCTGCTGTCAGCTCTGTTGATGGGCCACAACAAATAATTTGTTTTGTTTCCGTCTCTGTTTATCCTCCAGGCTCTGAATAAGTTGTAGAGGTCACTCAAAAATCGCATATCATAGCCTATGAGCTTCCATTTTAAGGTTATAGAAAATTGTGGAGGTCACAAATTTTACTGATTGAAGCTTGTTTTTATTTGGTTCTCAGGGAGCAGATAAAGTAAATGAAAAGGCTCATGTTTTTGCTCCGGTAAGTACTGAATTATATTCAGAGTTACATTGGCCAAAGCTACATTAGAATGTAGAAATGTCTCATCTGCTGTGTTGGACTTCAAGAAAGTCTTGTTTTGCTCTTTGGGTAAAGGAGAGATTCAACCTGGACATAAGGAGAAATTTTCTGATTTCATCACTGGAAGCTTTCAAGAAGAGATTGGACTGCCATTTGTCAGAAATGGTGAAGGGTCTCCTGTTTGGGCAGGGCGGGGGGGAGTTGGACTAGATGACCTGCAAGGTCCCTTCCAACTCTGATAATTTGTTTCTAGAGAGTTTTTTTTTTAAGCCAGAATTCTTACTTTTCTGACTCTGAACCAGATCTTTGATTGTGAGCCCAGAAAACATGCAAATCTTGGGTTTTGACCAGAACTTTTTTTGTTATTGGCACCCTAAAGATGAAGAAATGTTAATGCAGGAACAAAACGAAGGGTGGGAGAAAACATAGCATTGCAATATTTGATTAGTGAGCAGAAACAGAAACTGTATAAAAACAATATCTTGAAGCACAAAAGAGGATTCTTGTGTTCATCGAGGCTAAAACATAATAGCTCTGGACTTCTCTCCTTTTACTTGTCCAGTGTCCTCACCACTTGCCCTGCCCTCGATTGTTACTGGATAATCCTTTGCCGTGCAACTTCCTCCAGCAGTACGAATCCCTGCCTTTGTCTTGGGTAAGTCTGCCTGTCTGCTTGTCTTCCCTTGGGAAGAGGTGGGGTGATAAACCTGTGTGCTTAACAGCAGAGATCTGGGTGAACTAATAGGTCTGAGCAGACCAAATCAAGCCTCTGTCTTCAATTTCTTTGCATTGTGCTTCTAGCATTCTTACATAACTGGGAACCGTCTACATATATTCCTCAACTTATCACCAGTTGCTTAGCGATTATCCAAAGTTACAACTGACCTCCCCAAAGCTACTTAAGAAAGACCTGGTGTTCCTACCACCCACCCACCCCCGCAGTCACATGACTATTTTGTCTTCTTGCCCATATTGACAAGCGTTTTTGTGTGTGTATGTGTGTATTGATATAGATATGTAAATCAGTTTACTTTTAGTTTTTAGCAGAAAATATCAATTAGGCACAACAAGTTCACTTAATGACTATGGCGGTCCCTTAACACATAAAACTAACACACAGACAAAATGTAAAATTGAGTGTGGTCACGTAACTCAATATCGGCACAAGTTAAGGCCATAATTATTGGCTGAATTATGGACGCACCTGTACATAAATGTGCTTGGAAAACTTCAGAACACAGCAATCGCAATAAATACTTGGTGTTTATGCAGGACTTATTCATGTAACATGGATTGGGTGCAAAGCAAGGAATCAGAGCAGATAGCAGTATGTGTTCATTTTCTGGCACTATTTGACATAGCTATATGACGCATGCGCCTCCCAGTTCATTCCCAAATTATAATTTACTTACCAAGAGGTAAGAATTTGAGATATGTGTGAAATAGTAGCCTTAGCTGTTTTGTTATGTAATTTATAGCACAATTAGTTCCTGGGTCTTCCTACCTTGGTTTTTTACAAACCCTCCTACAGGAATACAATTTTAAGATTGTGTGACGTCTGGAAAAAGGTAACGTTTTCCTGTTTGAACCAGCAGGCTGGATTTTCAGAAGAATCAGAACTAGGAAGTTGTAAAATTTGTGGAAGTATTGTGGAAAACCCAGGCCAGGTCTTAACACATTGGATGAACCATATTAAGCCATAATATACTTTAGTTGTTTTGGATTGGATGTTGTCTGAATAAAGCTTTGGGTTGGGGTTGGGGGTTAGAGTTTAGTGAGTCACGAGAGCATAACCTCTGAGTAAGCAAGTGGAATTCTGTGCAGAAAGAAAAGCAGTTCAAGCGTAGGCAAATTGAATAAAAGACACTGCCAACAGAAACTCAAAATATATAAAGCCTAAAGTGGCTAAGAAGCTGAGTTTGTTGATCAGAAAGGCAGTTCGAATTCCTAGCACCGCGTAACAGAGTGAGCTTCCATTACTTGTCCCAGCTTCTGCCAACCTAGCAGTTCGAAAGCACATAAAAATGCAAGTAGAAAAATAGAGACCACCTTTGGTGGCAAAGTAACAGCATTCCGTGGCCTTCAGCATTTAAAGTGGCAGTTGTGGTTGTTATGCAAATCACAGGCAATCCTTAAACACAGTGTGACTTCGCAGCAACTTTTACTTCTTGCCCATTTCCCCGTTGACTTTGCTATCAGTGAAGGTCCCAAACGGCAGTCACACAACCACGAGACACTGCAAACGTTGTAATTTAATTTTGTTAAGCAACAGAGTTGGAAAGGACCTTGGAAATCATCTAGTCCAACCCCTTGCTCTTGCAATTGTGTGCCATTTGCTAAGCACCTGAATCACAATCATATGATCATAGGCATGCTGCAATGGCCACAACGTTAAGGACAAGCCCGGTCTCCCTTGTTTCATTGCTGTCATAACTTCAACTTCAAACTACTGCTGAATGAGTGGTCACAAAATAAGGATTACCCATACCTTATTCTTTCTGCCGGATTGGGGCAATGAAAGCCCCTAGGAATAGTTCATGCACCAACCCAGAAAATAGCACTTAGACTTATATACCACTCCATAGTTTTTTAGCCCTCTCTAAATGGTTTACAGAGTCAGCATGTAAACTGCATGTTGTCCCCAACAATCTGAGCCTTCATTTTACTGACCTCAGAAGGATGGAAGGCTAAGTCAACTTTGAGGTGATCAGGATCGAACTCCTGGCAATCGGCAGAATTAGCCTGCAATGCTTCATTCTAAGACCAAGGGGCCTTAATCAGCTTTCTTTAACCTAGATGGATTGTGTTACAATTCCCTTGCAATGGAAGCCATCCCGGCTTGGAAAGTGGAGAGTTGTTGCTGTGTGTAAATCTCTCATACAATTATGTCAAGAGTGTGCACAGCATGTTTACTATTTTGAGACAACCCATGAACAAAACACAGAGGTTTGTCTTGGTTTATATACAAGACTTCTATATACAAGGCATAGAGGACATATTTATATACATACAAGTTTCTAGGCACAGCTAGGCAAGCAATCAATCTCCAACCCTATACAGAGGAGAACTGCTATGAAGATAATACATGAGGAAAGAGAGGCACCCTCACATGACCTCTTATATAGACAGCTTCTTAAAGTAGCAGTAACCCTGCTGACTCATCATCTTGGTTTACAAGCAGAAGCTGGCCAGCTATTAAATCTTCCATTACCCTGACAATTTATACTGAAGACTATCTACAAACCTTGAGATAAAAGAAATGAGAGATTGCTACAGGATTCCTAACAATGCATCCCAAGGCCTGTTGCCCTGGCCAGATTTTTTTGTTGGCTTATAGATGGAGGTCAAACTTTCTGGGGAGGCTTCCCAATCCCTACCCTACCCCCATATCCCTCTTCCCCTACACACACACACACACACACACCGACTTTACATTTTATACAGTTTCAATTAAAATTTATATGTTGCTGTTTCCGGAGGGATTCCTGGACTTATTGGAAGAAAATACGGCCTCAGCAATTGTTTCTAAAAGGGACACGGTGGCTCAGTGGCTAAGACGCTGAGTTTGTCAATCAGAAAGGTCGACAGTTCAGCGGTTAAAATCCCTAGCGCCACGTAACAGAGTGAGCTCCCATTACTTGTTCTAGCTTCTGTCAACCTAGCTGTTCGAAAGCATGTAAAAAAGTAGAAAAATAGGAACCACCTTTAGTGGGAAGGTAACAGCGTTCCGTGCGCCGTCGGCATTTAGTCATGCTGGCCACATGACCACGGAGACAACTTCAGACAGCGCTGGCTCTTCGGCTTTGAAATGGAGATGAACACCGCCCCCTAGAGTTGGGAATGATTAGCATGCATGAGTGAAGGAACCTTTACCTTTACCTAATGTTTCTGCTAGCTTTTTTTCCCTGGATTGTGAGAAGAAGGCTTAACTTTCTAAGATCATTCTCCTATGTGTGTGTGTGTGTGTCTGTCTGTCTCTCTCTAGAACCCTCCACACAAAATCGAGAGATTTTCTTTCTTGATCCTGGCCCGCGGATCGGGGGAGTCAATGGAGCCCTGGCCTCGCATCACCCAGCCTGTCCTTTGCCGCAAACACCACATCCATGTGCACCTGTGTTGCACTGATGGCACCCTTCAACATGCCGTTGTGACATCAAAGAAACATAGCAGGTACTTGATTTACCCTGGAGGCAAAAGAAGCCCTAGGTCCAGGCTCCACTCCCTGACACTCAAGATTAAGGGGGTAGCCCTAGATTAGGGGTCGGCAACCTTAAACACTCAAAGAGCCACAAAGGTCCTAACCAGAAGCCCCCCGTTCAATTCTGGAGCCGGCCAGAAATCCAGTTTCCCCACCATAGAGTCTCCTCCTAGCGTGGCATCTTTTTTCCTCTACCTGTCCTAAACGAAAGCCCTATCAATTGTGGAGCTGACCGGAAAATACGGCCCTTGCCATAGAGTCTTCTGGTGCGCCCTGCTTCAAGTCCTCCCCCCCCTCCCCACCTCAGGTAACTGGAAGCTCCTCTCAAAATTGTGGTGCTGACTGGTGACAGGAGCTAAAGTAGTGGGATGAAAGAGCCACATGCGGCTCCGGAGCTGCCTGTTGCTATCCAGGGCTACATTCAAGTGCCTATGAATGTATCCCTTGGGGGTCATCACCTCTCTTTGCTTCTTGCAGGGATCTCTATCGATGTGTCTGGAACAGTAATTGTGGAGATCGACTTCCTGTTCTGGCTGCAGATATAAAATCCGTTTTGGAGGACAACTCAACTGCCGAAGACCAGATAAACGATTCCCAAAAAGTGAACACCGCTACTTGTCAGGATCAGAATTGATGCTTCCGGCATACTTTCATGCTTCCTTTTGGTATGTTCAGACTGGATATCTATCTCAGATTGCTGGTTTCCAGAATCTGGAATTCCTTACGCTGTTGGAGCTGTAGACCCGAGGTTGTTTCTGCTTGGCAGTGCGTGTATAATCGACAAGATCGAACTGTGGTACACCTCTCTCTGCGTTCTATGGATAATGGCGATTTTCTCGGAACCACTTCAGCCGGTATCAGATGTGGTGGATTGAATTCAAGCTTTTTTTCCCTCTTGGATATTAATAGCAAGCCAAGTCAGGTATCCGGAGATTAAATTACCTGTGATTATGTTGGTGGGAAGTTTGAACATTCTCACAAGACACAGAGATAAACCCTTTGGTTGGCTTCTTCAGTCTTGTGCTCTACAAAGAATTTGGATTACAGATTCCATCTCTAGCCCTTGGCTGTGAGAGCTAATTGGACCTGATAAAGGTTTGGAGAACACGAGGGTGCCAGAATCTACACTGCATATATCTCTTTCTGGATTATTCCATTTGGGTTGGAATTGGACTATTTAAATTAAACATCATCTATAAGATTAACTGAAGGTGATAAAAAATAGCTTATTAACATTTTCAGATACAGAAGGAGGGTGTTACACAAGAAATGCAGTAACACTCCCGGCGAAGTAGTAGAAGCCAAAATTAAATGGGTCAGCATAATATTTTTCTGTTCTGGGTGACACTTGGTTGCCCTGAAACTCACAAATATGTCTCCTACCTAATTTTGGATTGGTTGGTCAGCAGGTTCAAAAGCTTGGCTTGATTGTGGTTTTATTTCTTCCTTGTTCTGCCTTCTTGTGTGTTATGTGTTTAGCTAAAGAAGAGAACAAATATTTTCCAACTTTTAAGAGAAGGCTTGGTAGTGTGTGTTCAAATAAAATGGCTTGGAGATCCTGAGTGAAGAGGAAGTGGAGACAGTTTTGGCTGACACAATGATGCAAAAGGGTGTGTGCGCTTATGACCACTCTAATCCCAGCTCTCAAAAAGATGCCAAGTAGATTGAAATTGGAGAGTGAATAACGTAGGAGGGATCCTGGGATTAGTAGGTTTGGGATTGGTTGCTTAAGGAGGAAGATTTGGGCACTTAATAGTTTCATTGTTTTTTAAACTCCTCTGCATGTACCCAGAGGCCTGTGGGGGTCCTTGGTGCTCTCTGAGCTTGCTTCCTAGGCACTGATGTTACCCTGTTTCCCTGAAAGTAAGTCCTCCCCAGATAGTAAGCCCAATTGGGCTTTTGAGCACATGCGCTAAAATAAGCCCTAACCCGAAAATAAACCCTCCCCGAAAATATTGCAACAGAGAGGTGACCACGCTCGCCGCCTCCTGCACTTCAAAAATAATAAGGCTTCCACGAAAATATGGTCAAGTGCTTATTTCAGGGGTCAAAAGAAAATAAGATCCTGTCTTATTTTTGGGAAAACACAGTACCTAGTTGGGTAATGAAATGTCTGCAAGAAAACAGACAAGCTCAGAGAGCACCAAGGAGCCATCATGTCAACTTTGAGCTACAAATGTATTCTCCTTTATTACAATAGTTCCCAGAGGCCTATTTGGGCAACAGCAATAGTATTAACAAAGCAAGCTATGGATGTTTTGCTACCACTGGCACTTGTTTCATGTAGCCGGTTGAATCTTTCTGTCGCTAGTAGAGATGGTGATGTTGAGGTCTCTTCTAAGGAGACCCCTACTGCCTCTGGAGTGGATCAGAAATCCTACCTCTTCTTCTGCAGTAAGTGAAAGGCCACACATATCTCAGCAGGTTTTTTATCATTGAACTGGGGGGATATTTAGTTTAGGCCACCAACATGCTCTACTTAATGTTTTATCAATCATGCTGAGGAAGGGGTGAAAAAACCTTTATCAGCCAGATCTGTAGTCCTCCCTGCCTGAGTCTGATTCCTATCTATTCTCTCTGGAGATTTGCAATCATCCAGGTCGTGGTTGTCTCAAAGGTGCTTTTTCAAGAGGCAACTGGACTTTCTGGGGTTTTTCCCCCCCTTTCTTTGAAGACGTTTCGCTTCTCATCGAAGAAGCTTCTTCAGCTCTCAGCTCTTGAGAAAGAACCTTTGGAATATTCCTATCCATTCTTCCAGAAGTCCAAATCCCCATTTCTACCACTTTGACTTGCATGGCAATAAGGAGAGATTGGAGGTCCAGTTACCGTATTTTTCGGAGTATAAGATGCACCTTTTTCCCTTTAAAAAAAGGGTGAAAATCTGGGTGCATCTTTCACACTGAGTACAGCATTTTTGGCCTCCAGAACCACCACCCCCCTTTGCAAAAATGGTCCTGCAGAGGGTTTGGGAGGCTTACAGAGTGCTTCTGGGGGCCAGGGAGGGCAAAGATGAGCGAAAAATGGGCCGTCTTTTGCTCGTTTTTGCCCCCCCCCCCAGCCTCCGCCCTGAGTCCCCCCAGGGAAAAGGGCGGCATATAAATAAAGTAATCCTAAAGGCATATGAAGTAATCCTCCAGAAGTATTCTATAAACATCCTAAAGGCTATACATGCCCCTTTTTTTGACAAAAAAAAAACGGACCGTTTTTGGAGGTCTGCAGAATGCAGAAACTTTTTTTAAAATTTGTCTCTTCAAAATCTTGGTGCGTCTTATACTCCAAAATATGGTACATAATTAAAAAGGGGTGCAGGTTCTACTCAGTGATGCAGGCAGTTATGTAGTGTATCTTTGTATCTGTGATAGCAATTTTTTTTAAAAAAAAAAAAAAAGCTTGCTGAAATCAATAGAGTTAATTATAGTCTTTCTTGGTGAGAATGAGTCATCTAGGTCAGGAGTGTCAAACTCACTGCGTCGTCATGTGACGTATCGGCACTTTTTTCCCCCCTTCGCTAAACCAGGCATGGGCGTGACTAGCATGAGACGCCCACGAGTTTGACAGCCCTGATCTAGGTCAGTGTTTTATAAACCTGGAAATTTTTAAAACGTGTGGATTTCAATTCTGGCTTCAGGATCTCTTCCTTTTTGAGGAATTTGGGGAGTTGAAGTCCACTCGTCTTAGAAGTTTCCAGGTTTGAAAAATATCGGCCCAGGGAACATTTGAGGCTTGACTGGATTACATTGGTAATCTATCTCATCCAGTGTTTTGCTTTTAACCTAGGCAACTCAAAATTCCAGTTGGCTATGGAGTGTGTATAAAAAAGATGTTGAGACTCTAAAAAGAGTGCATAGAAGAGCAACAAAGATTATTAGAGGACTGGAGGCTAAAACATGAATGGTTACAGGAATTGGGCATGGCTAGACTAGTGAAGGGAAGGACCAGCGGAAATATGACAGCAGTGTTCCAATATTTGTGGGGCTGACACAGACAGGAGGGGGTCAAGCTATTTTCCAAATCACCTGGAAAGGCACTTTGGCCAGACAAGGAATAATGGATGGAAACTGACCAAGGAGAGATTCAACCTAGAAATAAGGAGAAATTTTCAGATAGTGAGAGCAATTAACCAATGGAACAGAAGTTGCCTTCAGAGGTTGTGGGAGCTGCATCACTGGAGGCTTTCAAGAAGAGACTGGACTGCCATTTGTTGAAAATGGTGTAGGGTCTCCTGCTTGGGTGGGGGGTTGGACTAGATCACCTACAAGGTCCCTCCCAACACTGTTATTCTGTTCTGTTTATTCCGTTCTGTGTATCTGGAGTCCTGTTTCAAGTATTTGATGGCAAAAAAGAGAAGCTGGGTTAAGATTAAAAATGGATTTAGATTAAAATTAACTGAGGTGAGTTAAATGATGCTAATATTACCCTCTTTTTTGTATCCTTTAACATTTGATGAAAAACTTGGGGTGGGATTATATAATTGGAGTCCCTCCCAATTCAGTCCTGAGATTTTTCACTAGTTAAATTAGTGCATAACAGCCATTAAACAGAAAAGAAGGAGCATCCAGTGTGCACATGTCTAGCGGTATCTTGACTAACGATTAATCATTAATTAATCATTAAAATTCTGCTAATATGTTGCTGACTTTGATAAATACCAAAACTTATCAGCTTTTATGTTGCGGTGTATACATTAGCCTGAAACTTGGCCACTGGACTAGAGCTGTGTGGTTGTTGATCAGACAAAAGGTAAAGTACACACCATTTAACACTGCTTTGTCAAGTGTGTTTGTTAAAATGGGTGTGATACAGTTAGAGCAGAATATCTGAGCAGGATAGTGGGAACAAAAATCCCTGACTTTTCAAGTTTTTAGGGTCAGAGGACAATTATATTAAAGGACAATGTTGTAACCCCAAAGGCAAGGAATTCAGCTGGGTCCTAAAAGAGCTGCATATGCTTTGGGAAACAGCTTTGACTTAGGTTTAAAGAGGTTATGATTTGACATGAGAGCAACCTGATTTAGAATTACTGTAGTGGGTGGAAATGTCTGTGCGTCTTATAGAGCAAATATTGGCAAAGCCCCGGCCCCCACCTGCTGGCCTCCGCCTCCCAGCAATTTTCCACCTTGCAGCAAACAGCAAGCAGTCTGGTCAGCTTCAGCACAGCCTGATTTAGCATGAGCAGCTGATTGGCAGTTGGATCTACCTCCCGGAATACTGCCTATCAGCTGTTCCATGCCACAGGGATAGCCACTGCCTATCACCGCCTCTGCACTCCATTTTCGGCCTCCTCATGCCACTTTTCAGTCTCACACCCCATTTTTGCCCCATTTTCAATCCCTGCTGCCTGGAATGGGTTGAAAAATGGGATGTGCTGAGGCCGAAAATGTGGCGTGCAGAGGCGGTGATGGGCGGTAGCGATCCCTGCAGCCTGGAACAACTGATAGGCGGTATTCCGGGAGGCCAATCCAACCACCAATCAGCTGCTCGTGCTAAATCAGGCTGTGCTGAAGCTGACCAGGCTCCTTGCTGTTTGCTACAAGGAGGAAAATTGCTGGGAGGCAGAGGCAGATTATTCTTTTCTTTTTTACTCCCCAAGAGCTAGGTATGTCTTATAGTCCGGAGAGTCTTACAGTCCGAAAAATACGGTAGACTTTTTTTAAAAAGCCCAAATTTATATGGGGAGAAATTTAAAGCACCCATTTCTGCTGATGCTTTTTCTGGAAGAAAGGGGAAGATGCTAATTTTCTATTGGATCCCCATAAGGGTGAAGTTTTTTTTATTTTTATCCCTCCCACCCACAAAACCTCAAAAGGGCCAACCCATCCATGCCCTTTTCGGGACAAAGAGCAGAAAAGAGGAAAGGAGAGCATAGCAGACTCACATTGGCCCATCAGTGAACCTACACAAAGTTTGGTTGAGCCAAAACAAAGTTATTGAAACAAAACAAAAGCCACTTTTCTAGAATATCAGAATGCTGGCGCGGCATGGAGGAAAAACAATGCTAGAATGTTTCTCAACCTCAACAACTTGAAGATGTGTGTGGACTTCAGCTCCCAGAATTCCCCAGCCCTCAAACTGGGTTCCTAGGAGTTGAAATCTATGTATCTATTGACATTGAAAGCACTGCTAAACTATGCCTTGTGCATGGGTGTTCTTTGCTGACCATTTGGGAAAGTGTCAGTCGTCCTCACCCACAACAAGGGATAGGATTATTTTCTGTCTTTGACAGCAAACATTATGGGATGATGCCAGGGGTGGGTTGCTGCCGGTTTGCTTATGCGTGTGTGCACAGTTGCCTGTAAATTGTTCTTCGCATGCACAGAACATTTAAAAAATGACTGAAAAACAAGCCTGCAGTGGCAACCAGGGAACCAGTTTGGGGGCATGGCCAGCCTGCAGTCTCTACCAGTTTGGAACCCAGTCCCAATTTCCACTACCGCTTTGCCCGAACCAGTGGGAACTGGTAGCAACCCACTTCTGGATGATGTTCGAAATGGAAGGAGCCACCACAGAGAAGGCCCTTCTAGGGGGGAATGAGGATCACTGCTCAGCTGCAGAGCCTTTGCTCACCAGCAGAAACTGATCTTCCCCAACTACAGATAGTCCTCATTTAACAACTTTGGGGGACCAAAGAGTTGATCATTAATCAAAGCAGATGCTAAGTGAAACCCGCGGCTACTTATAATCTTACCTTCTTTTTCTTTAAAGACCTGTGAAGGTCGTAAATGTGAGGATTGGTCGAAAAGTTGCTTTTTTATCACCATTGTAACTGCAAATAGACACTGTACAAAACAGTTGCTAAACGAGGACTACCTTTAAGTACAACCTTTTGGGTTTGGGTTTCTTCATCTCATGCCAACATGAGGTTATAAGGAGTTGTAGTTCAGATCCTTTAGAGCAGTATCAATCCAGGAAATGCAAGTGCCCCTTAAGCAATCATATATATATATAGCTCTGTAGGTGTATGTATATGTGTTCCAGCATAGCTCTGGTATATATATTTCAACCAAACTTAATACACAGATGACTTACTCTCTGGAGAAAAATACTGTGGAGGTAAGACACCCCTAAAACCCATGGGGGGTGGTGGTGTTCTGTTAAGATACAGACTATTGTACTATACTGCCATACTGGCTTCTACTGTACAGCGCAGTGGAATTGCCATGATAACAGATTCACAGTACTCCACAAGGTGCCTTTCTCTGGTAAAGGGGAAAATCCAACATTAGAAATTACATTTTGTCTGAACATTTTCCCCCTATAAATAAATACCTAGACAATGCTGGGTTATCAGCTAGTTTTATATCAGACAACATCCAATATTTTTCAAAAGGAAAAAGGCAGTTGGTTCCAATTATGACCCAAATGATTAATCTGTTTCTTTACAATATATCTGGTTGAAGATAATGTTTTAGAATTGCCATGATCAAGGTTTTAAACAATTTTTTTTTTAAAAAAAGAAACCCTGTTAATAAATAGTATTCCAAGCTCGGGACAAAATGATATTTCATTTCAAAGTTTAAATGTTCCAACAAAGGGAATAACAGAAACTCAAGACAAGTCATATTTTTCCCTCTCAGAAATGCAGAGAATAGCTGAAGTAATCCCTGCTATTTTATTTATTTATTTTGTTTAATAAAATATCCTTGGCAAAAAAAATGGAACAATCATGGAGTGGTTTTTTAAATCTTGCTGCCTATTTGGGGAAAAATGATTCTTTTGGGGATTTATTTCCATAAGTTATGTTGAAAGTAACTCCATTGGACCACTAGCCTCACAATTCAGTACACAACATAATTTTTTAAAAACTAAACAAAATATCTAGAACAAACAAAAACAAAATGCACAGGTACAATATAGGTGGTACCTTGCTCAACAGTAGTAACTGTGAGAGGGATCTTGGAGTCCTAGTGGACAACCATTTAAATATGAGCCAGCAGTGTGCAGCAGCTGCCAAAAAAGCCAACCCAGTTCTAGGCTACATAAACAGAGGGATAGAATCAAGATCACGTGAAGGCCACACTTGGAATACTGCATTCAGTTTTGGTCGCCACGATGTAGAAAAGATGTGGAGACTCTAGAAAAAGTACAGAGAAGAGCAACAAAGATGATTAGGGAACTGGAGACTAAAACATGAAGAACGGTTGCAGGAACTGGGTACGTCTAGTTTAATGCAAAGGAGGACTAGGAGAGACATGATATCAGTGTCCTAATATCTCAGGTGCTGCCACAAAGAAGAGGGAGTCAAACTATTCTCCAAGGCACCTGAGGGCAGAACAAGAAGCAATGGGTAGAAACTAATCAAGGAGAGAAGCAACTTGGAACTAAGGAGAAATTTCCTGACAGAACAATTGATCAGTGGAACAGCTTGCCTCCAGAAGTTGTGAATGCCCCAACACTGGAAGATGTTGGATAGCCATTTGTCTGAAATGGTATAGGGTTTCCTGCCTAGGCAGGGGGTTGGACTAGAAGACCTCCAAGGTCTCTTCCAACTCTGCTATTGTATTGTATTATTGTATACACTGCTGTTTTTCTGTAGATGAATAATGAAGGTTTTTGCCATAATGATTCCATAAACAAGTTTGAAAAACACTGTCTTTTTTATGCAAACGTTTTATGCAAAGAATTGAAAGTTTTCCTCTTTTTTTTAAGTGCTGTGTCCAGTACTATGTTCCAAAGGCCACGCTTGCTACCTAAAGAACTGAGGAGCGAAGTAGGAGTAATCTCTAATAGTAAACTAAAATGGTGCTGTACCTTTGATGTTTATTCTGACATGTGTGCCCAGTATAACTATTTTAACAAGTGAGGTGGCTTTCATTAAGTTTAGCAGCTTTGGTAGGAGTCCTGATGCTGATGGATTTTTTATGCTGATGGAGCAGTTTGGTTTCACCTTGAATTAAAAGGGAGGGGTCAGGCGGGAAGCTGTAGTCATTCTTCATTAACATAATAATCGAGCCCTATTTGTGGTCCATGGAACCAAAAGCTTGGCTGTAAAAAAAGGGACTAGCCAGCTCAACCAACCAGTCTTGAGCTCTGAATCACCAGCTGCTCACCTACATAGTCAGAGTCAGTAAAGAAAAAAAAATGATTAAATTGATTTAGCATTGAGCCTCTAATGCGGGTCAACATGGTTCCCTTACAGAATTTGCAGCTGGTATCTATCCATCGCCACCTGATCATTTAGATTCTTCTGAATTTTTTTTTTAATCTCTCTTTTTGGATCATTAAAGATGGCTATCGCTTGTATACATTTGCACTGGAAGGTGGATTATTGATCAAGGCTGGGGCTTCCAATTCATTTTCAACCAGCTATTGGTGCTGCAATGGATCTTCACTGCCAGAATGCAATTATTCAACTTCGGCGAGCACGCTAATTACTAAGTTGGCTGCATGCTTGTTGCGCCAATCCTACTTTAGGGAATCTTTCCAGAGGAGAGCAGCAACCTGCTCATTCACATACCTATGTATTTAGAAGAGGGGTACACAGGGCCTGCCAGGAACGGTCGCATTCCAAGACCCATCATCCTGAAACCACATGGCCAGATCAAAGGCAAAGAGGGTTCTAATCCCTGACCTCTTGTAGGAATTATTTGGCTGTGAATTATTAGGTAGCAGTCTTGAAGAAGTCTTTCAAAGCTTCATTTGGCAATAGAATTGCTAACTTGGGAAAAAGCAATCTATTTTGCAAAGGTGGGTAGTATAACCTTTAGGGCTACATGCAATATTTTTACCTCTCTCCACCCACCCCACTTGTAGAATAGTCCATATATGGAGCAGTTAGCATAACTACTGTGCTTCCCCAAAAATAAAACAGGGCCTTATTTTCTTTTGCTCCCCAAAATAAGTGTTTGGCCTTATTTTCCGGGAGGTCTTATTATTTTTGAGGTGCAGGAAACGGCAAACTGTGTTGCAGTATTTTCCGGGAGGGCTTATTTTAGCACATGCGCTCAAAAGCTCAATTAGGCTTATTATCCAGGGAGGTCTTATTTTGGGGAAAAACATGGTATTTTTTTGCCATTCTCACCGTATCCTTTGCTGCCTTCTGCAAAAATATTGAGGCTGGTCCCAGCCCCCCAAATGTTATCCTTCCTGTCATAGTTTTAGCCTTATGTTGAATAATTCCACAAAGAATTCTAGTTAGCAATATTAGTACCTGCGCTGGAAACATGCCAAGCTCTGGGCTACTTTGCTGAATGCTTTGTAGGGTTCAAATTTTTCACATTTTGCAAACTACTAAGTTCACATAACATATTTAACCAGGCATAGCTTAGCATCCTGAATCTGTTAACATTATCTGAAGAAGTATTGGGATCTGTACTTGATACAGTTTTTGTGATTTTATCAGGAATGCAGAATGCCTTAAACTTATGATCTTTTGTTAGAGCTACTATAAAATTAGGTGCATTGCACAGTAAATGACATGATTTATGGATTCTGGTCTAGTCTGAGATCGGTTCAATTTTTTATTTTTTTTTGCTAAGTCAACAAACTCCAATTTTAATGACTTACTTTATTGGAAATCTGGAGGTGGAGCCTTTGTCTATTGCTACTGTGGCCCAGTGACCTTAAATTTATGATGAAACTTTCCCTGACAGGCTGTTTCCTATAAGTAAAGTGTGGTGTTTTAATAGAGCAATTGGAATGGGCTGGGGCATTCAAATTGGTGGGAGGTTCCCTTGTGGAGTATCAGGGTTTTTATTCACAGACATCCAGAGAAGTGTTAAGAACTGAAGGAAGATGGAATGAGAGCAAGCAGAGGGGAAAAGAACTTGGTGAGAAGGAGACAGAAGAAAGGGGGGGTGGGCGGAATGGAATAGAAGCAGCAAAGCTTCAAGGAAACTAGGACAGTGGGAAAACAGGAAGAAATTAGGAGAATGGAAGTCATTGTGAAGTGGAGCTAAAAAAAAGACTGAAGGCAAAGAAGAAACAAATGCACTTTGGAGTTCTCAAGTTTGCCGTGAGTGGAGGTGGGCTTAATGAGTGCACAAGACTGGATGTCTTTCCTTGATCTTTGGTCTTCCAAAGAAAGAAGGTTTGCAGAGTTGGATTTCTTCACTCAAGACTAATTAATTGGTCTGAGAAGCTTTAGGAGCAGATTGTGCCGAGAAGAACCAAAAGCAGCACAAAGTGGTCCTTAACTTTGTTCCTCAACTTTTGCCCTCTTCCTTACGGTTGCAAAGATGGAGCAGATATTGGCTGTGAAAATTGGCTGCTTGGCAGGGCTGCTCCTCCTCACTCTTCTTTGCGGCCTCATTCCAGCCCAGATCAAGTGGTTCCACATGAACATGGCCAGAGGTGAGACATTTTCTCTTTTTTTTTGGGGGGGGGGTGTCGTGATATTCAATTAAGCCAGAACTAACATAATAGAAAACGCAGAGATGGCATCTTAAGGAAATTGGGATCCATTCTTTGTCTCGTATTTGTTATGAATCCATTCATTTAGACCAGAGGTGTCAAGGTCAAGGCCCAGGGGCCGGATCCGGCTCTCAGGGTGCTTAGATCTGGCCATGGGGCTGCTCTGGAAACAGTGAAGGACTGGCCTGTGGTGCCGCTGTCAGCAAAAATGGAGCTGGGGAAGCCCACATGCTCCATTTTTGCTGGCAGGGGGTTGCAGGAGGCCGTCCCAGCTGAAAACGAAGCTTGGGAGCCTGTTTTCACTGGCAGAGCGCTTGGGCCACCACAGGCACCCCCAACACGAATGATGTCAAGCTGGCCATGCCCCCCCAACTCCCCCTGATGTGGCCCTCAATGAAATCGAGTTTGACCCCCCCTGATTTCGCTAATTTGTGATAGGGGTGAATTGGTGACTCAGTATCCTTATTTTGCCTCTGAGATTTTAATGACAACATTGGCATGTACGGCGCTTTATAAATCATAGGATTACCTTTCAGGCAGAGGAGCACAATCTGAAGTTAAATGACTTAATAAGCTTTCCGAGAGGCTTTAATTTAGCCTCCATTACCTTTATGTGAAGACAAGTTATTGAATACTTCAAACAAGTCATATTAAGTATAATTAATTTTAATAAGTTAAGGCAGTGTTTCCCAACCTACACCACTTTAAACTATGTGGACGTCAACATCCAGAATTCCCCAGCCATGATATATTGACTGGGCAATTCTGGGAGTTGGAAATCTACACATCATTATATTAGAAGTGCCATATTGAAGATATATGGAGTAAATATAAAAATGTCTTTATGGGTCTCGGCACAAGAAGCTTTTTATACAAAAGAACCAGCAGCTAACCTATTGAAAATTGTGAGAAGAAGAGGATGGCGAACGTAAGATGAAATCAGAAGATCAGTTGACTACCTATTTATTTAATTTCTTGTTTGTTTATATTTGTATGGCTGTCCACTCAGTCTCCGTGACTCCTGGGTGGATTACAAAAATAAAAAGCCAATATACAAACCATAAAAGCAGTAATCATCCCCTTGTCCTGGGACCAACAAATCAATCAAACAAGCCACTTGATGGGCTACATCGCTTTCTGAGTTATCCAAACACATTGGCAAAACCCCGTCTTCTGAGCCTTACAAAAGAGTGTCTGAGTGCCAAATCTCCACAGGGATAGCAATAGCACGTAAACTTTTATACCACTTCATAGTGCTTTTACAGCCCTCTCTAAGCGGTTTACAAAGTCAGCCTTTTGCCCCCTAACAATCCGGGTCCTCATTTTACTGACCTCAGAAGGATGGAAGACTGAGTCAACTTTGAGCCGGTGAGATTTGAACTGCTGAAGTGCAGCTAGCAGTCAGCTGAAGTAGCCTGCAGTACTGCACTCTAACCACTGTGCCACCTTGGTTTTTTGAATGATGTTCCAAAGAGAGGGAGCCACCACAGAAGAGGCCCTTCTATGTTCTCCTTAGGGGAGGAAACTTGTAACATCCACCGGTCCCATCCCCCCCTCACTCAGTTTTCAATGTATTTTATGTGTATAGTTAAAGATTTGGAATGGAACAGAACAGAATAGAATAGAATAATAGAATAACAGAGTCGGAAGAGACCTTTGAGGTCTTCTAGTCCAACCCCCTGCTTAGGCAGGAAACCCTACACCACTTCATTTGAACCCTATAATAATAATAAGGTATTTGGAAATTGATATAATAATAATAATAAGGTATTTGGAAATCGATATAATAATAATAAGGTATTTGGAAATCGAGCAGCACAAGACAGAATTTGAAACTTTACAAATTTTATACATGAACGGTACAAATGATGAACATGTAATTTCTAAAACATGCAAACTTTTTTAAAAACTTGACATGGGAGAACGAGTGAAAGACTTATGATAAGAATGAGCTAAGAACTTTGCACGTAATATGCTGATGAAACAATGATAAAATATGCAACCAAAAGGGCTGAAAATTAACATGCTATCATTCAAAAGACAACTTTTATGAAATGGAATGCCATTGCTGTCGGACTCCAGAAAAATTATGTAGAATGTATGAAAGTACTTCAAACCTATGTTGAAAATGTGGAATAAGAGAAGGGTCATTGTGTCGTATCTGGGGGACTTGCAAAAAAAAAACAAAAACCCGAGAACTTTGTGTTTAAACGCATACAGATGATACAAAGAATTTTAAAAGTTGACATTCAATTGACCTTCTCTTGTTGGGACTAATGGATAGACAGAAAAGAGTTCTGGAAGGTCATATATAAAAATAACTGCTGCAAGATTATTATATGGACAAAAATGGAAAGAGACTGAAATACCCCACAATGGAAAAATGCCTGGTGGAGGTGATGGAATTAGCAGAAATGGCAAAATTGACTTTCTTACTTAAGAGAAAGGACAAAAATCACATTTATTAGTCACTGGAAATCCCATTAGCCACTTTTTGCTGAAAGAGAAAAAAATAAACTTGTGGTGTATGGATTTGATGACTAGAAAGAGTAGAATGGAAAGAAGTAATTATAAGAGGAAGGGAGGGAGGGAGAGAGAGAGAAAGAGAGAGAGAGGTGTAAATATAACTGCTTTTCCCTCCCTTCCCCATCCCCCCTCTCCTTCTCCCTCTCTCCTCTTTATCAGATGTAGGTACTACCCATAATAAATATGAAATTATATTTTTTTTCCATTTCTGTCTTTCTTTGCATTTTTTCCCTTACTCCTTTCCTTAATTTTCTGTTTCAAAATGTGTCTGGTTTATGTCTTTAAAAGTTTTAATAAAATCTCTCTCATTCTCCCCCTCCCTCCCTCCCTCCCTCCCTCTCTCTCTCTCATGATAACCTCTGGAGAAAAATACTGGGGGTGGAGGGTGGGTAAGACATCCCTAACGCTCCTTGGGGTGTGTGTTTTGTTAAGATACAGCCTGTTTTGCCATACTGCTGTGCTGGCTTCTACTGTACAGTGCAGTGAAGTTGCCTTAATAACGGCTTCACAGTACTACACAGGGGGGCTCCCTCTGGTAAGGGGGAAAGATCCAACATTAGAAATTATGTTTGGTCCGGACATTTCCCCCCTATAAATAAATGCCTTGCAACGCCGGGTTATCAGCTAGTTATATATAAATTAATTTTAATCCTGGCCCTTCCTCCTGGCCCTTCCCATTTCATTGTCTTATTCTTTCCTACTCTTTGGAATAAGCAATGTAGCTTTACTACTACATTGTTGTTGTTTTTTAAACAGCCAAGTATCTCTCTATGTCAGAAAGAAATTCTTCATCAGCTAAAGTTTGGCACAAAAACAAACAGCAAAACAAGAGGATGGAAGTGGAAGGAGGCATAGATAAATTAATATGTATGAGTTAAAGTAACTAGAAGTTTCAGGTTTGCACAATCCCAAGCGTGAAAACTTGGATGCAGAACAATTGCATGTAAATGCAGTCAGAATCAATACTCAAACAAGGTGTAACCTTGTTTAACCTTATAGAAGTTGAAATTTACTGATCCAAATCCAGGACAGGTAGTCCTCAACTTATGACAGAATTGAGCCCGATGTTTCTGTTCCTAAGAAATTGAGTTTTGCTCCATTTGATGATCTTTCTTACCACGACTGTTAAATGAATCACCACAGTTGATAAGTTAAACTGGCTCCCCCATTGAGTTTACTTGTCAGAAGTTTGCAAAAGTTGGCTACATGACTCCGGGACACCACAGTCATAAATATGTGCCAGCTGCCAAGCATCCTGATCACATGGCTGTGGGAATGCTGCAACGGTTGTAAATGAAAAATGGTCATAAGCTACATTTACAAGGAATGGTGGCAAATCAAGGACTACCCGTAAAATGTGAGTGGAATATCAATTAGATTTGAAATAAATAGCTTGGAACATTTCTTTTTCATTGGGTGTTGAAGTTGAGGTGATAGGCCTATTTAATTTCTTCATGCTGACAATGCTCATACATTTGTAGCCAGCAACTTTCCAAGCCAGGCAGTGAGGAATCTTTTATTTCTCTTTTCAGAATTAAAAAAAAAGTAGTAAAATCTCATTAAGCAGGAACGAGGAAACATTTTCTGCTTTTCTTACCTTTGTCCTCCTGATAAAAATCTGGTTATACGTACATGCATATGACCTGAAATGAAGGAATCTTAATGGGACATTCAAAGCGAAACTTTTAGTTCTAGAACAGGGGTCGCCAGCCTGGGGCCCTGGAAGCGCATGTGGTTCTTACATCCCTCTGCTGCGCCTCCCTGTTGCTAGTCGACACCACAATTTTGAGAGGAGCTTCTAGTTGGGGTCGGGGAAGCACGGTGCGCCAGGAGGAGACACTATGGCAAGGGGCGGATTTCCCAGTCGGGTCCACAATTGATAGGGCTTTAGATAGGTAGAGGAAAAAGGACTCTATGGTGGAGACTCTATGGTCAATGAACCGGATTTCCGGTCAGCTCCAAAATTAAATGGGGGGGGGGGCCTTCTGGTTAGGACCTTTGTGGCTCCCGATGTTTTCTTTTCTATGGAAAGCAGATCCAAACGGCTCTTTTAAGTGTTTAAGGTTGCCAACCTCTGTTCTAAAAAAACAAATAGTGGAAAAAATAATTCATCTTCCAGATTTAAAGTTAGGAGAAAAGGTCTTCGGCCTTGAATAGTCTTGCAAAAATTACCCCCCCCCCAAAAAAAAAAAATGGTTGAGCATTATTGCTCACTTGTCACATAAAACAATGGGACATATTCCTTAATGAAATCTTCCCATGACTTCATTCAAGGTTGGTGGAACAGGCTAGGTGCAATGTCTCGAGTCTCCCTACAATTATTACAGTGAGGGCTGTGATGCTTATCTTGTCATCAGGTAGCCTCACCTTGTACAGGTAAGTTTGCAGAATTGGATGCTATCCATAAACAGCTTCTCCCAAGTAAGCAACTATTGGAGAGCGGGGTCTCAAATACACTGAAAGAAGCAAATCTATATAGAAATACCTGCTCAGAGTAAATTTTGTTTTTCCTTGATACAGATACTATATCAAAATATTATTCTTCAGGGGTAAGGTTTATTCCATTTGGCTTATTTGATAGAGTTGGAAGATACGACGGATTTTTTAAATGTTTTATGACCCGTCCTTGAAGTTACGACTGCTATCCATCCTGGTCGTGTAATTGCGTTTTGAGTATTTGGCAAAAATCTTGCATTTGCAACCAGTTGCAGTGTTCCACAGTCATGTGATTATGATTTGTGACATTTTCCCAGCAAAAACCATCTACAATCGATTTTCTTAATGGCCATGTGGTTCACTTAATAACCACATTATTTGCTTTCTGACTATAGTGGACTTACTTTAAATCCCAAAGATGCTTTTTCAAGAGGCAAAGGGACTCTCTGGTTTTTCTTGGAAGAACTTTTGCTTCTCATCTAAGAAGTTTCTTCAGCTCTGACTGGACAGGTTAGAGTTAGGATTAGGGTTGAAAAAGAGCTGAAGAAGCTTCTTGGATGAGAGGCAAAACGTCTTCAAAGAAAAAAACAGAAAGTCCAGCTGCCTCTTGAAAAAGCATCCTTGGGACAACCATACCTGGATGACTGAGAATCTCCATAGACACTTTACAGCATTGTAAAAGTTATAAGATTGAGTCTGGTCACCAACAATGACTTACGGCCAGAAAAATGTAATGATCACGGCTCCACTATAGTTGTAAGTCAAGAACTACCTATACAATTTTTTTTCCCCTGGAAAGGACTGCATTTTTAATTTCCCTCTACTGAGCATCTAAGCACTGAGCAAAGTGGCAATGCCTGTAGAATCAGTGGGAACAAAAACATTGGCCACTTTTTCTTGTTAAAAGATTTTTTTTAAAAAATATATAGAAAATTATATGATTAAGAAAGACCTAATTTATTCAGAATGAAAAAGATGGAACATATTAGAAACAATATGCTTATGCTACCAAATTTCAGCATAATCCTGGGAGGACTGGAGAAACCAATTTGATGTCTAGGAGTTGCCTAACCACAATACACCAATTCAGTTTTGGGCTTGGTAGTAAATCCCATTTCTCTCTTTCTCCCCTAGAGAATTTATGGGTGGAAAATAAGTGGCTGGGGACTGAACTAAATATATAAATTGCCTTTTTAAACCATTGCCAACATCAATGAAACCTGAGCGGTATTGAAAGATTTTTCTGGTCTTTCTTTCTTTCATGAGTCATAGCAATAGCAGTTAAACTTATACAGTACATCATTTCACAGTGCTTTACAGTCCTCTCTAAGCAGTTTACAGAGTCAGCATATTGACCCCAACAATTCACCAAGCTCGGAAGGAGGGAATCAACCTTGAGCCAATCAGGATCGAACTGCTGACAGTCAGCAGAGGTAGCCTGCAGTACTGCATTCTAACCACTGCGCCACCATGGCTCTTATAAGTTGTCTAGCAGCCCTTTAAGATTAAGTCTAAAGCAATATATCTTCCGAAGGGATCTACTTCTATTAATTCAGCTTTCATATCTTTTCTTAAGTATACAACTATACCATTCTTCTTTTCCATAGCAGAAGCTGCAAAATGTTGACCAAGTTTTGAGTTGATCAAATATTTTTGATCAGTCGACTTGATATGAGTTTCTTGCAAACAAATTACATCGTTCTTAAACTGTTTAAGATAATGAAATATTTTCTTCCTCTTCTGTGGAGAGTTCAGTCCGTTGACATTCCATGTTAAAATCTTAGTTGTCATCTTTGGTTGGTTGAAGCATTTTTAGAGCTTCCTGCACGGCCTGTTTAACCTTAGGTTAAACGCCACCATGGCTCTTATAAGTTGTCTAGCAGCCATTAATAAAAAGCAAGTACTTACGTAGCAAGTGTTCATTTGCTCCTCCAAATGTCAATAATGGATTTTATCCATGGTCCAGTTAGTTATTTCCTATTTCAATAAAGTAAACCTTTTGCACAATCCTCTGAATTTTCATGTAGGATCACCACAAATGTAAATATTTTCTACTTCTGATAACAACCTCACTGATACAGATAGCCCTTGACCGAAAAGCATTCATTTAGTGACTGCTCAAGGTTGCAACAGCACTGGAAAAAAATGTGACTTATGACTGGTCCTTGCACTTACGACCATCGCAGAATTCCCATGGGCATAGGATTGTGATTTAAACACTTGGCAACCAGCATGCATTTACAATTTTGTGGCATCTCAAGGTCTCGTGGTCACCATTTCAGACCTTCCCAGCTGGCTTCCCAAAAGCAAAGTCAGGGGAGGATGCCAGATTCACTTAACAAGGCCATGAATCACTTAATCACCCTGGCAAAAGAAGCCTGTAAAATTAGGCGTGGTGATGTGATGACTCACTTAACAACCCCATTAGTTACCAATGGATTGTAGTCCCAATGGTGTTCATAAGCCAAGGGTTACCTACCCTGTGTTTCTCTGAAAATAAGACCCCAAAAATTGGACCGGTTCAGTCAAGTAAGTAGTAACTTGGCCACCCACGCACTCGAACTGGTTATATTGTCGGCACGCCATCTTGATTTTTGGTTCTGCGCATGCGCAGATCAATCTCCATTGCAGAAATGTAATCCCCCCCCCTTTTCTAACATTCTGCGCATGCACAGACCTTTTTATGTGTAAATGTGCACACGCGCAGAGTACCGAACCGGCAGTAATGCCAGTCGCAACCCAGCCCTGCCCTGGCCTCTTTTTCGCTACAGAGTCCTTCAGGAACTTCTTCATATGGCAAGGCCAGCAAGACTTTCCTGGAAGCCTTTGCAGCTGATAACAGAGTTCCAGATAGATCCGGAGCTCTGTTATCGGCTAGAGAGGCTTTCCAGAAAACCTTGCCGGCTGCGGAACAAATGGGACAAGGTATGCGAGTCCTGGCTGAACTGTCCATCTGTAAGTAGTAGGGCAGCTCCACCACACCCAGCCCCACCTGTTCTGACCCCTCTTGTCCCACACCAAAGCACACCGAGCCAAAGATACTTTAAGGAATTTATTAACAGACAGACAGGTCCTTGGCAGCAAACGAGCACAGACAAGCCTTGGCAGCAATCCAGCCTGCCAAGCTAGTTACAAAAGTTCTCCAACTTTTAGTCACTGTGTTGACTCCTGCAATGGGGCATGTGCACAAGCAGTCCTCTTATAGTCTTGAGAGGAGCCTAATTACCACCAGCTGAGTGCAAATATCTCCTGTAACTGCGCAACTGTTCCTTATGCCTATCAGCTCTTCGATGCTGGGCATCCAGGAACAACTCCCTTGGCTCCTCCTCACTGCGCCAATGTTCAAGTGCCTCCTGGTGGCCAACCAGCCTCTCTGCACTCTGCTCGGAGTCGGAACCCTATCCAGGGACCTCCACATCTTCCAGAGCCGACTCTTAGGGCCCCTCGCTGTTGGAGTCTGGTGGCAGCTCCAACTGTTCCTGCTGGGCCACAACAGCACCCTAGCTTAATTTTTACCTGGGCACCATGGAGTGGGCGGGGTCTTAATTAGGGGGGGGGTAGGACTTATGTTGGGTGCACATATAAAAATCAAGCTAGGACTTACCTTCTGAGTAGGTCATATTTTCGAGAAAACATGGTATGCGTTTGATTGAGTCAAAAGCATTGGGTCACTGCACTGTCCATGGTGCTGGAAATTAGGACGTGGAGGGGGATGCTTGATGCTTGCAAGTGGATGATCCCCAAAACAAAGACTTGCCTGCCCAGGTGACCCTTAAAAATATTTCTCTCTTCCATTTATTTTCAGGGAAACATCGGCGCATCCTCAGTTTTATTGGCTGCTTCGCTGCTGGGGTCTTCCTCGGTGCCTGCATTATGCACATGGTGGCTGATGCCCTGAGAGACATCGAAACAGAAATAGGAAAACGACGGCATGCGGTGAGTGCTGTTATGAGAGCCTAGATTTCCATTTTTGCCATCCTGGGAACAAGATTGTACTTTCAAATACCAAAGTTCCATGATTCATCATTTCCTATTAGAAAAAAATAAGTTCATGTAGGACAGGAGAAAATTCTGATGTTCTGAGAGTTTCTAATTTACTAGTTACTTCACTGATTCCCTCTACAAGTCAATGTAATAATCTCCTTGGCTATTGTTTAAGAAGCTGAGCTAGTCGATTGACATATCAGCAGTTCAGCGGTTCGAATCCCTAGTGCCGCGTAACGGGCAATGTTCCCTCTAATTTTTTTTCAGTGTGAGCAGAAAAGTATAGTGTTTGAGCCTGAGCACCTGAATTTTTTTCACAGATATCACCTAAGACAACAACAAAATCAGTATTATTTGAAACTCAAAGTTATGTTTATTCAAGGTACCCGCTTAATTAAAAGTGTTATATAATATCAGTATCACTTAACAACGCTCCTGCTTAGCAACCAAAATGTTGGCTCAGAAAGTCTGGCATTTGAAGCACGCAAGTCTTAAAGCTGTTGCTACAAGACCCTTGCACCCCTAACCCTTTAGGGGAAAAAAACCCCAGGGGTCTTCAAACGTGACAGCTTTAAGACTTGTGGACTTCAACTCCCAGAATTCCTCCCTGAGGGGAATTATATATTTGGACTGTTTCATAGTTACATTAGAGAACTACATTGTTAGAACTTAGCACAAAAAATACCTTTTATCTGAAAATCCAAATAGAGTAAACCTGCTATTATCCCAGAGCACTAATGTCATTTGTCCCAATCTGTTTTACGAGTCTGTATTAAAATAGATAGAAATATTTTCACTAAATTTTATAGATCTGTATTTCAGGAACCTATCAGAAGTTAGGGCAAGATAAGAGTGGAAGAATGAATTTTGTTGCAGGTCATGGGGATTTTTTCAGCATCTTAAAAGTGGAGCGCATGTGCATTGAACTAGCAATACCCATTTAATAACAAAAGGAAATGGCTGAATTAAATTTGGTAAAGTTGCAAGCGAGCTGTAAAAAGCTTGTGGTTTTTAAAATCATAGAATCAGAAGGGATACTTGAGGTCTTCTAGTCCAGCCCCTTGTCCAAGGTAGGAGTCTTTATATCATCTGAGACAAATGGCCGTCTAGTCTTTTGAAAACCTGTAGCAAATGAATTAAGATTCCATTGATTTTAATTGTTCTTACTGTCAGATTTCTCCTTATTTCCAGCTTGAGTCTCCTTCTGACAAGTTTCCATTACTTCTTGTCCTGTCCTCAGGTGCTATTGCTGCCTCTTCCTCCTCCTCCTCCTCCAACAGGCAACAGCACTGCCGGATCCAGTTGTAGCCACCTGCAAAGGACTTCCACACGTTTCCTTTACAGAAATCTCTGCGCGGCAGATAGAAACTGCTGCACGGGGTTTTCTTGCAACGTGCGCGGCCACACAGCCGCGCACCTTAGAGGGAACAGTGGTAACGGGGTGAGCTTCCGTTACTTGTCCCAGCTTCTGCCAACTTAGCAGTTTGAAAGTATGTAAAAATGCAAGTAGAAAAATAGGGACCAGCTTTGGTGGGAAGGTAACTGCGTTCCATGCGCCTTCGGCATTTAGTCATGCTGGCCACATGACCACAGAGATGTCTTCGGACAGCACTGGCTCTTCAGATTTTAAACTGAGATGAGCACCACCCCCTAGAGTTGGGAACGACTAGCACGTATGTGCGAGGGGAACCTTTACCTTTAAGAAATTTATAACGTATGGTTGATCTGAAAGTGACTGGCCCCAAAAATTGAGCCTGGATTTTCTTGTTCACTTCCATGACTCAATGAATAGGTTCCCATATAGAGGTTTTTTTTTAAATGAACAATGAACTACACCTTCATATGCAATATCTCATGAAACTTTATCATCTGGAGATTTGGAACATGTTATTATTTTTTTAATGAGAGTGAACTAAATTGTATGTAGATGATGCTAGAAAAGTTGGTCAAATCCTCCTTTGACCAAATCAACCTGCGAATTAATTGTTGATAATTACTGCAAGCAATTCTGGATCAGAGTTAGCAATAATCTTACCTGGTAAGAAAGTAACTTAAGACTGTCTTTTTAAGACAGTAATAAAATCTGATTTTCTCCTACCTTCATGGGTATGTATATCTTCTCACCTGCATCTGACGAAGTGTATCTGTCCAAAAGGAAGATGCCTTTTCCAGATGATTCTTAAAAGTCAGTATGAGCAGCAATGTTGCAAAAAGTTAAAATCATTTGGAAAGCCAAATTCCAGAACACGGAGGTGTATTTCAAATTGATACCTTCCTTTTATTTCTGCAGTAGCTTTGATTGAATACAGGTCTTGTGACCAAAACTTTGATCTTGTTTTGTTTCTAGGAGAGTGCCAGATATAAAGTAAATAGCACCTACACGAGCACTGATAATGATTCAGAGGTAAGTATCCCATTGTTTGAAAACTTCCCTTCATCTTGACATTTACTAATCGGTTTACTATTGAATGGGAACTTGTAATCTTTTAGATGTTGGGTTCCAACTCCCATTGTCCCTCGCTATTGAGCATGGGATGATTGAAGTTGGACTTGAATGTGATTTCAATCACATTTGACTCAAAAGATGTATGACCTCCCACTGCCAACGTCATGGTCTTCAAACTTTAATCACGATGAGAATTCTGTGAACTTCCAGTGTTCTTGAATTATATAGATTCCTCATCACGATCAAGATTTGAAGACCATGATGTCAATAGAGGGAAATAATACATTCTTTGAGTCAAACGTAATTCCTGGTGACTTCAGGGTTATAGCTGTGTAACTCTCTTGGCAAAAATACAGAATGACTTCTCGTTGATTTCTTTTGGGGTTATGGGATTATTGGTAGTCACAGTAAGTGTTTCATTGGGTTTTTTTTACTTCCCAGTTTAGTCGCGAATTCCTTTTTTTCAACAACTAACCAGGCCCGTTCCTGCTTAGCTACTGGAGATTAACTAAGATCTGCTAAATGCTGCTACATAGTTGGGTAAACCAACATCTCTCAACCTTGTCCTCTTTAAGATATATGGACTTCAACTCCCAGAATTCCCCAACCAGCAAAGCTGACTGGGGAAATCTGGGAGCTGAAGTCTACACATCTTAAAAGTTTCCAAGTCTGAGGAATACCAGGCTAGAGAGAAATAAACTCCTTGACTGTTACCTCTGTGAATTGTATTTTATATCGTTCTACTTAAAGTAGAACCACTAACTCCAATAGTTGGCCTGAATATTCATATCTGTGACAGAATGGGTGTGGATCACCCAAGATTAAATTTTGTATTCGTTTCCCATTTTGCAATGTTTTCAATTACTTAATCTCACGAGTTCAGCTTCCACTTGGTTTCAGAGATTCTAAAGATAGCAAGGCCTATTTGATTTTCTTTATTAGATTAGATAACTTTAAATTATTTGTTATGACTTGTTTAGAGCACTTCTAATCACTGCTTTTATCTCACTGGTCCAGCTGGTACGATAACTTAACATGTGAGTAGAAAAAGAACTGCTCTTGATTTGCGGCCTGTTTGAGTCTTAATCTTTTTTTAAAAAAAAAATTGTTTGTTGTCATTTTTTTCAGGAAGACTTTTTAAAAAACCAAGCTTTAAAACAAAGGCAAGTAGATTGAAATGCAAAATTTTTGAACAATTGCTCTTAAGGCAGTGTAGTACTTTGGATTTAAATTTGAAAAGTTGCTTTCATGTATGCAGGCATATCTGGTATATAGGCTTCACCCACCAGATCCTCGTTAAATTAGTGATACTTTATCAGCATCATGCAGTAATTATGAAAAGGGCATGACTGCTTTTAAGACACATCAAGTGGTACACTCCTAAATGCATGCCCAAGAGTCATATCCAAAGCATTGCAAAGCCTTTAAAGCAGAAATTCGTTTTAAAACAACAATCTTGACTACAGGGTTGATTTCACAAAAGAAACTTCTCCCAACTCTAGTTTACTTCCTAGTGCATTTGTCAGGGGAAAGGAACCAGGATGACACAAATAGTTAATAGTGGTAACAATCACACTTCTATTACTGTCGGCTCGCTCAGGATACGCTTTTCTCTCGCGCACACTTGATGCACACTACACTCGCATGCACAGTAGTAAAAAAATGAAGAAAAAAAAAGATGACTCCACCTATGGCGCCACCAATAGGAATGGTTCAGGGGTGTGGCTGGCCAAATTACTACCTATTTGGCCGAACCGATCCAAGCCGGTAGGAACCCACCTCTGCTCAGAAGGATAGAAGTGTGAATCAACCTTGAGCCGGTCAGGATTGAACTCAAGACTGTGGGCAGAGTTAACCTGCAATGCTTCATTCTAAACCACTGCACAATTGATCAGAAAGGCATGTCTATTGCTGCTCTCCTATCGACAGGAATCTTGCCAGACTAATGCACTCATGACAGAAACTACTAGATAACTACTGCAAGCTTTAGGGAGGATTTGCTTTCCACCACCTCCTTCCCCTTAGCAATTCTAAGCTAGTCAGTCTTTTCACTCCTCCCAGATTCACTTCAACTCCAGATTCCACTACGTCATTGGACTTCAATCTCCAGAATTCACCACTTAGTAAGAGCTTTTGTCAGTAGGGGCTGGGTTGGGCTACAGTAGTAAAAACTGTAAGCTAATGTGTTCAAATGGTATTAGGGTGGGGGTAATTTAGGAACCAACAAAGGTGTAATCTTTCACAAACTGTGGGATTTTTTTTACTCAATCACACCCTGTCCATAGATCACGAGGAGGTAACTTATGGCCTTCCAGGTGTTGCTACGCTACAGTTACCAGCATTCCTCATCATTGGCTATACTTCCTACTTCTCTTGTTGGCTAACTTGCAGCAGTGTTAGAAGCACCTAAAGCACTTTGAGGTTGAAAGAATTAGCTGGTGACATCACAGTTCCCCCAGGGATGCCTGATTGGGAGCTGACCAGCTCAAGGTTGACTCAGCCTTCCATCCTCCTGAGGTCGGTAAAATGAGGACCCAGATCGTTGGGGGCAATATGTGTTCTGACCCGGACTTTGCAGAAATAAGAAACAGACTCCTTGCCATTAAAAAAAAAAAAACCACCCTCTTTATTTACCTCTTGTGAATTAATTGCATTCACCCACTGAAAGTCAGCAGACCTTATCAGTTCGTTACGATAATTGCAAGGCCATGAGTTCCCAGCTGAAAGGCTGCAAATTAAATTCTGGCACGGATTTTGCTCATTGTTGCGTGAAGCACAATGAGGGAAATCTCCAGACGTACGGACTCTTGTCCTCTACGACAACCACTCCCCTTTCCTTCTACTTATTCCCCAGCCAGGGAGAGGCCATTCAGCATCCACATTTCATTTGCTTCCTAAGTCGACTCTTTGTCCTCCGTTGTTCACCTCTCCTAATTGCTGTGTGCCTACGTGCACCTGGAACAGGCCCCAGCTGTTCTTCCCCCTCACTCATCAGCCTCTAAAGGCATCTGCCTCTTCGGTGGCTGGGAAATGCTGGACGGCTATGGCTCTATCTCCGTGTCTGATGCTGAGCATCCACGAGAATCTTCCCCAGGCTCCAGAACTGGCCCAAGTTCTTCCCCAACCTCCTCATCAGCTGGCAGTTGACAGGCCACAACAATATCCTGACTCTGTAAACCGCTTAGAGAGGGCTGTAAACAGGGGTGGGTTTCTCACCCCGTTCCAACCGGTTCGGTTGGAACGGGGGCGGCGGCGTCCTCGTGCACGCGTGCGGTGTACGCATGCGTACTAGCGTCTGTGCGACGCTCCAGCTGCTCCTGGAGGATCGCGCAGGCGCTGTATGCGTCCTGCGCATGCGTGGAAGCGCAGAAC